ATCGCGTCTCAATGATCTAGTGTACATTAAGTACAATAGAACATTGAAACGTCGTTATGTGATCTCATTGATCCAATTCGCTTGGATAACATTGATGTTTCAAATAAATGGTTAGTTGGATTCCCCGAATATCAAGAAGATGAACTAGTATATGAGGATGATGATCTTACTTGGGGTAGTGTTGCTACGGCAATTGGAGCTGATGAGAGTATCTATCCTCTTAGGGGACTTTCTTCAAGATCAAGTGCACTTGACAAGGGCAAAGGAGTAGAAACTACATCTACAAGTTCAACTTCAAGTAGGACTCGGACACTAATTGATGAAGACTACGAGGAGGAAGAAGATGAGGAGCAATATAATGATGTAGAGGATGTTGATCTTCAAGAGTTGGATAGTTTTGAAGAAGAATAGACTTTCAGAGTTCTAGTATTGTCTTTTGAATTATTGGGTCTTTAAAGTTCTAGACTTTTAGTATCTACTTTTAGTTTTTGAATTGAAATATTTGCTAATATATGTTATTGACTTATTGCTATTGAGATTTTTGGATATTTATATATGCAATTAAATATTTTAATTTTTGGTATTAATTGGCGCCTCAATTCAAAAAGCCGCTCGCCTCGCCGCATGGCAGGCCCTTGTCGCCTCTCGCCATCCAAAACACTGCCCTACTCATATAATTTATCTTTTCCAGTAGGGTCGTGCCATCATTCCGACCCTACCCATATTATTTCTCTTTTTCAATAGGATCGTGTCGTCAATCTGACTTTTCCTATATAATTTTTATTCTCTAGTTAGGTCGTGCCATCATTCCGACCCTACCTATATAATTTTAATTTTAAGATTGTGACCACTTTCAGCCATCAAATCTAACAGTGACTTTCTTATTTAATATCGACTTGTCTATTCATTCCAACACGATCCATATACTTTATACTAGATTTTGAACACTTTCCGGCGACTATTGCATTGTGAAAAGTTCAGTCTACTTGTATATCGATTACGTAAGTCACTCTATGGTCTGAAATAGTTTGTGCAAGCTTGGTTTGGGAAGTTCAACACTGTAATTATCACTCTGTGTTTTATCGACATTATGCTCAAATCTAATATTTCATGGGAAGACTACGCACATTGAGATTGACTGTCAATTTTGTGAAGTCGAGTGATCAACCTACAGATATCTCACTAAGCCCCTCATCGGTCCTCGTATTAATTACATTTGTAACAAGCTAGGTACATATGATTTGTATGCACTAGCTTGAGGGGGAGTGTTAGAATAGAAATAGGTATATACAATCCTACTTAGAATAGGAATAGGAATAGGAATAGTAATAGTAATAGTATCCTACTTGGTAAAGGATTATATTGTAGTGTCTATAGATAGGGTCTCTTTGTAATAATGTAGATAACAACACAACTCAATAATATTCTTCTCTTATATTTCTCACAGAGGTTTCTTTAGGACTCAATGGGTGAAGAAGGACCCATTGATGAAGTTTCCACATACCTTGATAGAAACCCTAGGTGAAATTAGAGAAGACTTGGACCTTTGGAATCCTTGTTCTTGCCTTGGGAGAGAAGCTTCGGGGAGAAGAATTTGATTTTGAGTGAATGAGAGAATAAGGAGGTTAGGGGTCTTAGGAATCAGTTATAGTCTCCAAAATAAACCCAAAACGACATAGTATAGGAATTAAAAGAGTAGGAAAAGACCCAACTACCCCTGAAGTTGGCTTCCACGGACCGTGAAAGCTTATATGGTCCGTGAACTTCTCTCGTGGAAGTAAATGTTGCAAACTTCAGCAACTTTTCTACACTTTTCTGATTTATCTGAGTTAGGCACTTCCGAGGTGTTACAAGGGATAAGCCAAGTTAAGAAGTCAAAGTTTGCATTGCTCAGTAGGCAATAAGAGCATTTTTAGATGAATAAATGATAAACTCTTCAAGAGATGTTGAATAGATTAATTGACATCAGTAATGAATTGAACTCTCCTGGAGATCATCCCTTGAAGGAAGAAGATTGAAAAATTTCTAGATATCTTGCATGACTCTTGGGAAAGCAAGGTCAATACAATAATGGAGGCAATATTTGGAGACAATGTTATAGATGAAGTCGTGAGAAACTTGAAGACCTTTGAAATGAAGAAATTCCAAAATCAGAAGAATGCTCCACCAAGAAAGGAAGTGAACCTGGTCCTTAAAGCCACCCAGAATCAAGATGTTGATGAAGAAGATATGCTAACCTGGAGGTTCCAAAGGATTATCAGGAGAGAAGGGCTCTAAAACAGAGGTAGCATCTCAAATTCAAGAGCACTTGATAGGGGGAACTCTGAGGTATGCCACAGATGTGAAGTCCTCACCACTTTATCCAGCAGTTTCCAGAAAGAGAGACTGAGTGGAGAAGGAATGCTCTTGACAAAGAAAACAGGGTTCAAGTTCCTGGAAGCAGGATAACTACTCAAATAGATCAAATAGTAAGGAAAGCACTAGCTTCCATGGAAACTCCTCAAGTGATGATGAGGATGATGATGTTGAAGAGGACAATCAATTCCTACTGACCATGGAAGAACCTGATAATATGATTTAGCCACTGAATATGAAGAATGAAAGGCTAAGGTGAGTGAAAACAGAAGCATGTGATATGCCGGTAGTGCTTGTTCTAGACACATGACAAGAGAAAAGGAAATGTTTCTTTCACTAGAAGCCTATCAAGGAGAGAGTGGAATTTGGAAAGCAAAAAAAGACATCATTAGGATTGGAAAAATTGAAAAATCCCACTCCCATGCAATTGAGAATATACATCATGTCAAAGCATTAAAGCACAGCCTATTGAGTGTGTCACGGATGTGTGATAAAGGGAACCAGGTTGTATTCACCTCAGATGACTGTACTGTTAGTCTGTTACAAGTTCCAAAACCAAGAACCTGGTTCTTTGAGGAGGAAGACACCAAAATGTACATACAGTTGACGTCATGGCTCCGTTGAGGAATTAAGCTATAAGCTAAGGTGCACATGAGAATGACTCACTATTATGGCACAGAAGGCTAGGACATGCAAGCTTCTCTCAACTCAACAAGTTGATATCAAGGACTTGGTTCTTGGGTTGCCAAAATCCATGTTATGAAGAAAAGGTGTGTGATGCACATGCCGGAGGAAAACATATCAAGTCCTCATTCAAATCAAAGAAGATGGTAAGTACAACCCGACCACTAGAGCTGTTAAACATAGATATGTAGACCTATGAGGGTTCAAAACAGAGGGAGTAAGAGATACATGTTTGTGATTGTTAACAATTATTCCAAGTTCACATGGACATTGTTTCTTGTCTCCAAGGATGAAACATTCAATCTATTCTCAATATCTGTGAAGGAGCTACAAAGGAAGTTGAATGTTCAAGTGGCTAGCATCATATCTAACCATAGTACTGAATTGAGAATGCTAGTTTTCTAGAATATTGTGGACATCATGGGGATCAATCACAACTTCTGAGAACCTAAAACTCCACAGCAAGATGGTGTTGTTCAAGGAAGAACGGGACCTTGGAAGACATGGAAAAAACTATGTTCACAGCAAGTAATCTTCCAAAGTCATTTTGCGCTGAAGTTGTGAACATTGCATGCTCTGTAATCAGCAAATGCATGATAGACCTTTGCTAAAGAAGACTCCCTAGGAACTTCTAAAGGGAATCAAGCCAAATTTTACTCATCTTGTAGCTTTTGGGAGCAAGTGTTTTTTCCACAACAATGGAACAAGCTCTAGGAAAGTTTGATGCAACAAGTGACAAAGGAATTTTTATTGGATATTCATCACATAATAAAGCTTACAAGGTATACAACTAGAGGACCTCATATGTTGACGAAAGTGTTCATGTAAATTTTGATGAATCTGACAGCCTGAAGGAGAGAGGAGCACAGGATAATGATGATGATGTTGAAATTGGGATCACACAGAGCTATGATGATAACCATCGCAAGACCTTTAAAAGAATTTGGTTGAAAGGGGATCACATGGGTCACAAAACAAGAACTCGAACAAGATATGAAGTTGACAAGAGGGATAGAATAGGTCAGCAATATTAATGAACCTGGTTCACCTAAATCTCTAGGAGCTGAGCTGAGCAAAGCATCAAACAGTTGCTGAGAGATGAGAGAACTAAAGTTTGGAGAAACCGGTTATATGGAACTTGTGTGTGATAATCAAGTGGCCTTTCATGTCACATCAAACTCAGTGTTTCATGACAGAACTAAGCACATTGAGATTGATTGTCACTTTGTCAGAGAAAAGATACTCTCCGGCAGAGGTGAACCCACATACAAAGTTGGGGGGTGCACATGCACCCACTAACTTCGAAAAAAATCATGTGTATATATGTATATCTATCTTGAGAAACTGACATAAACTAGGATATAATTATCAGTGTACCCATAAGGAGCATAGGAGTGTCTTTTGTTGCTAGTATAAGCCAGAGGAATCACCCTTGAGACCAGAGTTCAAATCCAGCTAAAACCCTTTTTTGTTGTTTTTATTTTAAGTTTTACTTAGAGCTCATATTGGTACACCCAAAATCTTTAAATCCTAGGTTTGCCTCTGCTCTCAGGAGATAATGTTAAAAAAAAATTGAAATTGAGTGATCAACTTGCATTAATCTTCACCAAGTCCCTCACCGGTCCTCGTATTAATTACATTTGTAACAAGCTAGGTACATATGATTTGTATGCACCAGCTTGAGGGGGAGTGTTAGAATCGGAATAGGAATATGCAATCCTACTTAGAATAGGAATAGAAATAGTATATAGTATACTACTTGGTAAAAGATTGGATTATATTGTATAAATAGGGTCTTTGTGTAACATATTTTCAGCTCTCTTTATGATAGGTTTTATTTTTTCCCTTTCTAGAGCTGACTACCCCTACTTTTGTAAATCTTGCATCCTCTGGACACTTTGTTACAATACACTTCTCACTTCATTAAAAAAAGATTTGAGATGGGAATAAGATGGTCAAACCTTTCTTTTCATTGCGCAGAACTTGCAATCTGAGGCTGATGGCGGGAGGATCTGATTAGCAATAAGCCTCTTGACAGGAACATCTTCCATCTTTAAGGAAGCACACAACCTGGACGATTCGCTAATTGCCATAACCTGAAGGGCACATGGTGACTCCCACCGGAAACAGAGTGAGAACCACGAGTCAACAAGCAGCTCACTATTTTTCATATGGCAACAAAACCAAGGTATTTAGCACTATAAAAGTCTACACTAATTGTATTTCTCTAACATTTTCTATTTGCAAACTTCTCGTAATCCAAAATGTTAGGTTCAGGCAATTTTTCTGAACTTTAAGACTTGATGTAGTTGACAATTAACTAGGGAGTAGGTTTTTATTTTCTAGGTGGGGCAGTTTAGAGTTTAGTTAGTTCTACTCTGTACAGGAATTTAGCCTCTTTGCCTTGAAATCCTTTTGGATTCGAAAAAATGAAACAAAACATACCAATAGCTAAAAAAATTCATTGAGACTGATATTTCAAGAAGTACACTTCAGTTTTTAAAATTTTTAATTTAAGCTCAAATGTGAGACAAATATAATAGTTGTGTGATGCAAACCTTGGAGACCACGGTTCAAATCTTAGCAGAAACAAAACACACTATAGGTGATTTCTCCCCCTCTTAGAAGTTACCCCGTATACAGTGGTTTCTGCCTTATACTAACAGATCCTAATCAGGCAGATTTAGGAAAACATGCACAACACCAGACAGAAAATATTACCGTGGGGATTGTTACTATGATAAATTCTGTTGAGGTTGTGTCACGAAAAAGCTCTCTTACTTTTATCATCCTCTCCCTTAACCGCTCCAATTTATCTGCCTGCACACATACGAAATATGTGAGATTGACAAGATTATGCACATGAATACCCAGCAGTACATATTCCTAACTATGTAAAGCTTACAGCATCTGGCTTGGGCGATCCTTCCTGGCCAAAGACAGACTTTATTGCTGAAGTGGCAGAAGCTATCTTCTGTCTCAACTGAAAAAGAGTTTATCCAGAGTAGAACAAAAGTAGATTACAGAGTTAAACCAGGTCAAGAATACTTTAATTATGAATATATGATAACAGGCAGTTGGAAGAGAAAAGGAATTCCAGAGCCTTCATTCTGTTGCAGAAAGAAACTAGCTGTCCAACTAAGAACCATAAGCCAAAAAGTTGCCTTCATTAAGGAAGAGAAATTTTAAGCAGAAAACAATTTGTAAAGCATAACCAAGGAACCAAGTAGTTGCACACTGGGAACACAATACAGGGAATGATGATGAGAAGCTTTAAGCACAACAAATGAAGGTCTTTCTGCATTCCTTGAGCATTATTATACCTTCCCTATTCATTGCAGGTTGGTTATTTGTCAGTACCGGGAATTTTACTAGTTTAAATATATCATTCACTTTTTTCACACATTTACTCTGACAGAACAACTGATCAATAAGTACATGACAGAAGAAAGATGTTGCCTAAAGAGAAAATCCGTCCATATCATGTTTTTGCATTCCTGAAATTTTCTTTTCCAATCAAAAGCAGATATGGAATTGAACAGATTTGCTACCTTCAAAATCTTTCCAATTGATTTATCCAAGAAGTCTGGCAAGGACAAGAGCCGTAGAGTATGTCCCTGAGAGGAACTAATAACTATTAGGAATGTCTTACCAAAACATAGTTTAAAGGACATATCATGCCGTTCTCACCGTCGGGGCTGTGTCAAACACTATACGAGTAAACATATTATATTCCTGCGATTCAAGGAATTGCATAACCTGGCAAGAAGATCTGTAGCCAGTTAGGTTGAAGGAAAACATTAACACTTTTGATGGAAAATATGAACACAAACTTTAAGTATAAAAAGTTATGGCACCTTTGAAATTGCAATGGCTTCATCTAGACCAGGAGGGGGTGTATCCAGCAGTTCTCCAAGCTTTAGTTCCCCAAGCTTGCACACGCAAGAAGAGGAATAAGTTAGTAGTGAAACAAGTGAAATCAACTCCATTTTGGTCAAGAAAATCGAAGGTCAAAACTGAACACGCAAGTGGCAGAGAGAATCAAACAAAAAAGAAAAGGACTTCAATTTCATTACTTCTCGTTAGTGCAAACCTAAGCTTTATGTGGCTAGCTAAAAGACTTATTTCCCACTTTTATCACTCTTATTAAAGAAGAGAACTCACAGAGATTTGATTTAATTTAGGGAAAAGAATTCTACCTGTTCAGCAAGCACTCCAAGGCCCATACCATCCATAAAGTCTTTGATACCAGATCCTCCACTTATCTGGGTTGCACTTCGAAATTCTTCCTTGGCCTTTTCAGGATTCAACTGACATATTGACAATAGTATTCAAAATGAGCCTTAAACATGACACTGTTTAATTTAGTACCAAATCCCCAGACACCCCCATCCCTGGCCTCCAGCGAGGAGAACATTGCAATACTGGGTTATTGATTCAACGTTGGATATCACCAAATACAAGTAGGAAGAGGCTTTTCACAACCTCAAGGGCAAATAATGGAGAATCCGGGCCTTCAACTGGAACTAGAGTCCCGCCAGCCAAATCCTACAGTCAGAACATGCAGACTGAATGAATCTTGTCACACAAGAAAAAAGTCCAAAAAGGAAAAGCGAAAAAGTAATTCAGAGAACTGCCTGAAATGCAATAAAAAAAAAAAACACTATCTTATACCTGGGCAAAAGAATCACTTAAGGAATGTGCAGGATCAGTTGAAACTACTAAAGTGGGATGACCATTATTTGCAAATTTTACAGCAAGTGAAGCAGCACAACTTGTCTTCCCAACTCCTCCTTTACCACCTAGCATGTAATACTTACGCTCGGTCCCAGAAACCATTTCATCAAATCCAGCAGGAGAAGCTACTGCTCTCACTGCCATTAGCACAAAGATTTAGCAACATTAACAAGGCCATAATAATTGGCATGGCTAGTGGAGGAAGTGAAACACTCTTGGGTTACCGTTTCTAATTGAATTCTAGTAAAAAAAAAAATCTGATTGAGCTTACAAGGAATATATGCCACTCAATATTTAATTACTCGGAGGATGAAAAGATTACAGGGCAGTATACCATATAGACTAGACAAAACATCAAAACTGTCAAATTTGCAACCATATACTGGCTCTTTTACACCACACAGAAATTAAGGACAAATCTTCTCAAATTCATCAGCAGCTACCAGATGGTCAAACTAAAATTGTAATCAGGCTAATATCATCATAACCATCACCCTCATTTTAACGAGTGTAGTGGTATGATTGAATATATCACTGGTTGCATCGTCTTAAACCTGGGGTCTCTCTTCATTCTTATTCATCAGCATTACCTTCAAGCATTTAACTAAAATAAGTGATTAACATCAATCACTTTCAAATTCTTTTTTACCAATTTCATAAATTAAAAAAAAAAGTGATTAACATAAGATTATTTGCTGGGACTGCAAGGGCAAACCATCTCCATCATCTTAATCTTGTAGCTTATGTCAATGCAAACTAGCTTAGTTTTATCTAGCTTCCAAAGATATTACTCAATTCGACGATTGTAAAGGGAAAAAAATTCAATGAATGGTTGGTCCTAAATGATGAGGAATATGGTGCAGTCACCTATATGCTAATATACAACTTGCAACTTCACACCTTTTTTCTTAAAATTACTGTCAGAAATATAGGAGAAGAATATTATTGAATTGTTGTATCTACATTATTACATAGAGACCCTATTTATAGACACTATAATACAATCCTTTACCAAGTAGGATACTATTTACTATTCCTATTTCTATTACTATTCCTATTCCTATTCTAACTAGGATTGTATATACCTATTCTTATTCTAACACTCCCCCTCAAGCTAGTGCATACAAGTCATATGTACATAGCTTGTTACAAATGTAATTAATACGAGGACAGATGAGGGGCTTGGGGAGATATCTTCAAGTTGATCACTCGTCTTCACAAAATTGACAGTCAATCTCAACGTGCCTAGTCTTCTCATGAAATACTAGATTTGATGCATAATGCTAGTCAATCTCAATTTGTTTGGTCTTCTCATGAAATGCTGGATTTGATGCATAATGTTGATAAAACACAGAGTAATAAATTCCTGAATTGCAGTGTTGAACTTCCCAAATCAAGCTTGAGAAGATTGTTTCAAACCATAGAGTGACTTACACAATAGACATACAAGGCTACCAGACTCCCCCTTAGCAACAAAACCAGGTGGTTGCTCCATACAGACTTCTTCCTCAAGATCACCTCTTTTTCTTTTTTGTGTAAATCATTAAACTAGCTGAAAAATGCCCATGCGCCAGACTACTAGATTTGATGGCTAAAAGTGGCCACAATCTGAGAAATAAATTATATGGGTAGGGTTGGAATAATGGCACGACCCTACTGAGAAATTGAAATTATATAGGAAAGGTTGGATTGACGGCACGACCCTATTGAAAAGAGAAATAATATGGGTAGGGTCGGAATGATGGCACGACCCTACTAAAAAAGAGAAATTATATGGGTAGGGTCGGAATGATGGCACAACCCTACGCAAATCAAATTTGAAGAGTCACCGAAAAGACGAATGGCACTACACAAATCAAATCTGAGTCACCAAAAAGACACACGGTGCTATACAACTCAGACATGAGAAAGTAGTTCAGACAAATCCACGATACTATGCAAATTAAATATGAAAAGTAGTCTGGAGAGATGCACAGTACTACGCAAATTAGATACGAAAAAAATAACCACCGAAAGGATGGCGCGGTGCTACACAAATTAAATATGAAAAAGTAGTCACCAGAAGGATGGCACAGTGCTACATAAATTAAATATGAAAAAGTAGTCACCAGAAAGATGACACAGTGCTACACAAAAACTGACGGATATGGGGATGACACAAAACAATCGTAGATAGTCACTAGAAATTGATGCATGGTGACCTGACTAATCGAGCTTTCTTCCCCTGAATATGGGGTTCATGCATATATTATTGGCCCTACTTTTGTTAACATAATCATTGGCCAGATGGACGGCATATATGGGTCATAGTCGCCCGTCAGCAGCAGAAGCTCTTTGATTCTCTACCAAGATCGTAGAGGCTCTGATACCATGTGAGAAATACAGGAGAAGAATATTAATGAATTGTTATATCTACCTTATTACATAGAGACCCTATTTATAGACACTAATACAATCCTTTACCAAGTAGGATACTATTTACTATTCCTATTTCTATTACTATTTCTATTCCTATTCTTTTTTTCTTTTTTTTTGATAACCGAGAAATCCGTCTGTGACCCGCCCTTTGGACCAATCACAGCCTTCTAAACTCGGTGGATAATGGACCCCCCCTCTACCCTTCTCCACTTAAATACCGGGCTTCGCTTTGCATGGTGTATGGCTTGAACCTGCGACCTAAGCCACAAATCCTCCACCTTTTGCCACTTGAGCTAGGCCTTGGGGGCTTCTATTCCTATTCTTAGTAGGATTGTATATACCTATTCTTATTCTAACAATTATAATCAAGAAAGTTTTTTGGTCTTCCCTCACAGATGCAAAATCCGCGAGAAGCCGTTGTTTTTTAAAAAAAAAAAATCAAATGGAGTGACCATAACCACTTTTTATTAAAAAGAAACAGAAACCATGGTCCAAAAGAAACAAGGATTAGGCCCAAAACACAAGCAGATAAAGCCTCCATTAGGAAAGTAGACAAACCATCGCTTCCAATCTAGAACCTTTCGGCAACTAAGAATGCCGATGGAAGATTCAAACAGAAACAAATGGTCACGAACAATGAAGAACTAGAGAAGATCGATCAAGTGGGAAGAGAAGAGACTTCAAAACCTGCAACTTCTAGGTCCGCTTCAGTATCTTGGGTTGATTTCACTTTGGACATCTAAATTTCTCATAGACGCCATAGAATTGATTCCAAGAAAGACTTCTACAGCTCCTTACTTATGGCCTTGTTGTGTTGCTATAACTCTAGGTAAAATTGAACTCTCTCAACTTGGTAAATACCACCGACGTTCCACATCACAACTTTCACACCTACACTATTTCTCAGCAGGTTGAGTCCCAAAGGACTAATACCACTGTTTAAGAGATTTTCGTAGGAGGACCGTCAAAATTGTGACACCTTGATGGTCTTTACAGCAGATAAGAAACCAAGTTGACCTTAAAACCTGTGCTATTGACTATGTTTGGGTGTGTAACTGAAATATTGTAAACCTCTGCCTTATGTTTATTGATTGTTGTCTGTTTCTTTCAAGCCTGTGATTTCTTAATTGATGATTTGTTGCTTCAATTATGTGTTGAATGATAGTAAAAGCTGCATTTTGACATTTTTGATCTTAAGACTGGGTAGTGGAGGGTTGTTTTGCTTTTCGAGGGTTTAGGCTTGGTGTTTGTCATTGTACTGGCTGTAATATTGTACTTCTTGTTTTTTGTATCTATCATCATATGTTGTTTAGTGTGTTGCTATTATCGCACTATTTTGTTGTTCTTGTTCCTTTCTTATAGCCTTTGCACGACTTCCCTTGTTAGTTGCTATGTTTATTTCTACATTGTTTTTTTTTCTTTTTTGATGATGTGGTGTCTGGGCCAGCTTTCTCTCACCTCGACTAGTTTCACGAGATATCTGTCACCTCCCACCAGCAAGAGGTATAGTACCAGGTAACTCTATCCACCAAGACTAGCCAATTCTTCTTCTTTGTACTTGGTTTTGCTGCACTTGAACCCAACAACCTACCTAGGCCTACCACTGTGAGCAAAATACGAAGCATCAACAATAAGGAATGGAGTTATAAAAGGGTGGAGAAAAAATTGGCCACATGGTAAATGCAATACCTCACCCATCAGAATGTTGAGTCTAATCAACAGTGTTCTAGACAATGTCACTACCTATATTATGTTCCTTTTTCCCATGTCCTCAAAGGTTCAGAAGCAACTAAACAAGGTAAGAAGATCCTTCCTATGGAAAGGCAATAGTGAAGGACATAAACTTCATCTGTTGAAATGGTCAAAGGTCAGCCAAAAATCTAGGATGCCTGGGTATCAGAGAGACAAAGACTAATCTAAACACAACACCAGCTTGTTAATAAAATGGTGGTGGAGTTATGGTCATGAAACTACAAGTCTTTGGAAGAGGTGGTAACTGGTAACTACCAAACATGGGAAGCAAAACCATTGGTGCACTAGGAAAAACAGATCCCCTCGTGGTGTTGGCACTTGGAAATACATTAACAAGCTTAGAGATGATTTCTTCCTTGATGTCTCTTCCACAGTTGCAAACACGAACCTAGTGAGCTTCTCGAAGACGAATGGCTTCACAACCAACCCGTGAAGGATTCTCATCCGAACCTCTAGCAGTTAGCAGTGGACCCTGATTCCTCTATAGCTCAAATAGAGCAGGGAACTCATGGAACACTCACCTCAGGAGATATTTGCAAGACTAGGAACTTGGAAAGATCTTTAATCTTTACAGAATTCTAAAAGACATCATTGTTAATCCCAAACAAGTGAATGACTAAGATGGGGCAGTTCTAGTAAGGAGTCATACTCAGTGAAAGCAGGTTATAGTAAATTGTGTGCACAAAATGAAGGGACTAAAAACTAGCCTTGAAAGCTGATTTGGAGAACAAAAGCACCCACAAAATATCATATCTTTACATGGACAGCCATTAGAAAAGCACTCTTGATACAAGAAAATCTCTGCAGAAAGAAGTTTCAGGTAACAAACAGATGTTTTATGTGCCAGCATAGTTTAGAAACAGTCAATACCTTTTTTTGCATTGTTCAATTGCTACAGATTTGTGGAACATGTTCCTGTCAGTTTTTGGTGTATCAGGAGAATCTAACAGTTGATATCAACATGCATTTGTTAGAGTATTGGACAGAAAGGAATCACAAATGTTTTATGAGATTTCACTCCCAACTCTTCTTTGAAATCTAAATGTGTGATGAATCTCTTCAGCTGGAGTAATTTAGCCCCTGTAAATGATGTCATCCCTTTTGTAGATTTCATTAGCTCTCTGTTTTTGGCTTAACAACCAACCCTTTTTTGCTTTCTTAGGGAAATGGCTCAATGAACTATCGGTAGGTTTTTGTATGTAGGATCCATCCCTATTCTCTTTTGTATTGTTACTGGATCTTTTTGATGTCATCAATACAACAATTACTTCATCAAAAAGAAAATTCATCAATCTTTCACCTAGTATTTTGGACGGTGAAAGGCGACCAGGGTCTGCCTCGCCACAAGGTGAGACGAGCGGCAAGGCACTCCCCTTTTTGAAGTGCAGCTCCAATTAATACCAAAAAAAAAAAAAAAATTAATTGCATATATAAATAATCAAAATATCAACAGCAATAACATATTAGCAAATATTTCAATTCAAAAAACTGAAAATAGATAGTACATACTAAAAGTCTAGAAGCCGAGGAGGAAAGAATAATCTTCCAAGCGGACAGAGACCTAAATTTCCATTAGATTCATTCCTAAGCTTGCTTTGTTGCAGCAAGATGATCAGTCCGAGAGTGCTGGAGAGAAGAGAAAGCGGTAAAAACCTCTCTTATTCGGTCACCGAGAAGTCGGACGACTCTTCAGTAACCCGGGGTGATCCGACCCCTTCGACGCTTTTTTCGTTGTATACCCCCTCCATCCTTCGGAGGTGGAAGAAAGGGTACTCACATTTTAATACATAGTAGGCCCCAGAACGCTAAAAGGTGGGGGAACAAGAGTTGTCACGATAGAAAAGAGAAAAAAAGAAATGACTATAAGGAACCAACGGCTCTCTCTTCTTAAACAACCTATATCCTCCACACTTAATCAGCATTTGATAGATTATCCAACCCCAAGCAATCTTAGTTATTGGTGGGGGTTCGGTTCGTTAGCGGGTATTTGTTTAGTCATTCAGATAGTGACTGGCGTTTTTTTAGCTATGCATTACACACCTCATGTGGATCTAGCTTTCAACAGCGTGGAACACATTATGAGAGATGTTGAAGGGGGCTGGTTGCTCCGTTATATGCATGCTAATGGGGCAAGTATGTTTTTCTCAAACTAATACTGCAGATCGACATCGGGGGTGGTTGTTACGCTTCCTGTTGAGTACAGACTTGAAGTGAAAAATAAAAATAGAACAAAAGTCAAAACAGTGAGAAAGAAATAGAGGTAGAAGTAAATCTGAAGTCTGGAGAAGAAGGAAAAAGAAACAGTTGATGAAGAAAAGAAGAAGAAATTAGAATAAGAAAAGAAGAAATACGTATTGGTTGGACTTTGGAGTTGCCGGAAAAGTTTGGTTGGTCACAAGAGAAGTCGAGTCGACTGGTTTGAGTCGCAGTCAAGTGCAAATTTGAAAAGAAAACCCTAAAATTACCCTTTAACTTATAAAATCCTAAATTGGTCGTCTTTATTTAAGAAAATACCAAAGGCGACGCCTTTCTCGCCATGGCATCGCCTTTTGAAGATTGCCTCGCCATAAAGCTAAAAGGCGATGAAGGGTCACCTCACCTCTCGCCATTGGCGAAAAAGCGATCGCCTTTCACAACATTGCTTTCACCAAGCATTTGGTAATCTTCCCATGTATAGTGCAAACTGAACAGAGTAAATGAACACTGCTTTATCTTAAAAGGATTAAAACCACACAATTGAACGGAATTAACTTAAAAAGTGTCAAAAGTAAAATTGATTCAAAATTGATCAGACCAAGCAAATACAAATCCCATTGAACTTAGAGGCAATGGTGCACCTGCCTTCTTTAAATTCCTGATCCGGCTCTGATCTTTCATCCCAAGGGAAACTATTAATGGAAAGCAATTAATTCTATTTTGAAAGCACAACCAAATACTTGATAAATTCAATACAAAATTTATGACCCTGATTGTTTCTCTTATGCCGCAGACCAAGTGACTCCTGAGAGGAAAACATTTGGGCCAGAGACTCGGGTCCTATCAAGGCATTTGACTAAGAGTCAATTGAGAGGATCAAGACCCAAGTTTCAATCATTCAGGGTGGTTTGTTTGGTTGTAATATTTACTCCTATTGTTGTTATCATTTGTTAGACATCACCTGTATTACTATTTTGTTTTAAGTCTGAACTGGGAATCTTTAAAACAGAAAGAAAAATGTTAATCATTTAATTTTGAACACCCTATCAAACTTTATATCAGTAAAGCAGAAGGATAAATCCCGCTACCCCTCTTGCTTTCGCTAGAAAGGGGTTTCGAACTTGACACTTCCAACATAAAAGTCTAAGCCCAAAGCAGTGGGCCACCCCCAAGGGTATAAATCCCCATTTTTCAATGGCGGAAATAAATAATGAATGAAATAAGATCCCTTTATCAATAAAAGGAAACCTAAGACCGGATTTGTCTTCTTCACCTCAAAATGGGATTCCCATTTTCGTTCCTTGTTTACAAATTAAAATCATATGAAACAAAAAAGGTTCAAATAAAAGCAATTGATTGGCAGAATAACAAATAGCAGAAAATCTTGTGTCTTCAATAGAGAAACTTACCTTGCAAACACTTAATGGGCTGGTTCTTGAAGGAAATAAAAGTAGCCGAGCTGAAGGTTGGTCTGAAGTTGAAGAGAGAAAGTGGGTGTGAGGGTCTGAGAGAATTAGAAGAATGGCCATATCCCACAACTTCCATTGCCGAAGATGAAAACACTATCTTGGGTCTCCACTATCTTCTCTTAGCTTCTCCAGTTTGGACTCTGAGGGGCACACACACACTACTTATAACTTATGCCAGAAAATTGAGTAACACCTCACCAAAAGGTGTCAAGGGTCATTAAATTAAGGGTGTGTTTGGAAAGCACCACATAATTGGAATTGGAATCAGTATTACCCTAGTAATCAGAATGACTTATTTGTACTTACAAATGTACTATTTAGTTGCATAAGTGCAATTGTAACATTAATAATAAAAAATTTAATATTAGATGACAATTAAGAGCCTTTATAAATGATACTGAATTGAATATTTGAGATATAAATTGTTTTATGAAAATATATTAATTAATGAAGATATATTCTTAATATATATTATAAAAAAATAACTTATATTTAATGAAATATCAAGTCAATAATACTAAAACAAATTAAACTGAAAATATAACATTACAAAACAAAAAGGAAAAATGTACAAGTATCCCCCCCAACTATACGTGAAATCCCAACGACACACTTTAACTATACATGAGTCATATTACCCCCTGAATTATTTTTAAGTGTATTAAACGCACTCTTAACACAACCTAAAACCTATATAGCCACTCACATGATGGGAGGTGTTTTACACTCGCCTCCAAGTCATCATTATGTCAGCGCCACGTCAATAAATGATCAGATCTATAAAAAATATATATAAAATTTCATGTCATTTGATTCCTTCTTCTTCATTATCAACACCCAGTCCATAACCACTAAACCCACTTATTTAACCATTAAAACTCTTAACAATCACCATGAAAATTATAACCCACCACCAAATTTATCCCATCACTACCATAGGATTCAATATCTACTATCAATTTTATTTTTCTTTCAATCCAAATAATCCAAATAAATTTCATAAAACATGGTCCAAAATCTCCTTTGAAGAAACTACCTAAATTTTGAACTCTAATTCGAGAAGAATTCAAAATTGGGGTCATTTTTTTCTAATTGAAGTGAGAAGGGAAGAGAAGGAGGGAGGGTGTTATTGATGGAGAACTGAAGCGGCATGGAGGTTGGGTTGGGGTAGAGGTGGAATGTCATATTGTTGGAGAATTGAAGCGGGGGGCAGGAGTGGGGGTGTGGGCGGGGTGTGTGAGGGCTGGTTGTAGGGGTAGGAGTAGGGGTATGACATGGATAATTGAGGAGGGGATGATAGTTAAATTATTTATTTAAAAAAATTTTAAAAAAAAAACTCTAATTTAAATTATGCTCTTTTATATGTTGCCTAAATTAAATTCCTAATATGCAATTTTTTTCTCATTAGCGAATTTCAAGTAATGTATTTGAGTAAAAAAATGAAAAAGAAAAAAAATTCTCTCGATACTATACAAATTAATTTAAAACACTGAAAAGAATTCTTTGACAATTTAAATATATTGTGAAAAAAGATAAAATTTGACTCTATTTCATAAAGAAAAAAGAAATTTTATTAAAAAATATCAATTTAAGTTTTAAAGTTAATTAACTATCTCTACTAATTAATTATAAAAATGTTCAATTAAAAATGAACACGTGTCCATATTAATCATATTTTAATACCTTTTTCCGTATCTCATATGCCTCTAAGAGAGTGAACGCACTCTTTGTGCCACCTCAGCACGAAAGGGTGCATTTATTACACTTTTAAAATAATTCTGGGGGTAATAGGTCTCATGTATAGTTAAGATGTGTCATTGGAATTTCGCGTATAGTTGAGGGGGGTACTTGTGCATTTTTCCAAACAAAAAAAAAACATAATATTCTTATGTCCAATTTCAACATAACGTAAATGTAAGTCTATAACCTTACTCAAAAATGAATTCTACCTTAATTTTAAAATTAGAATGCTAACAAAATTATGTTAATGAAAAAAAATAATAATAATACAAAAAATTGAGTGCAATCACATAAAAAAGTAAAGGTTGAGAATGAGAAGAAAATAAATATAAAAAATAAAGAATGAAAAATTTAATTTTAGAAAGTATATAACAAAAATATTTTTTAAGAAAATAACAGAAATAAAAAATAAATTAAAATGATAAAAAAAAAAAAAGGAAGAAAATGAATTTAAAAAGTTTCATGCAATCTTTATATATATAAAGAGAATCCTAAGCTTGCCTATGTGGCACCCTTCGAATTCAAGAATTTAATTGTTTTAATGTTTTCCTTTGTACTTTTAGAGTTTTTTACCCCTATTTTATTTTTATCTTTAAACCCGTTTCTTCAACTCTTGTGTCCCTTCAGATTGTTGTATCCCTTCGATTGCGTCTATTCAGGAACTAAACATACACATTGTTGTATCTTCTTCTTCGTGACAAATTTTATCCCTAATTTTTGTGAAACTTCGCCAATTCCTTGGAAGTCTACTTTGGATCTTCACCCAAATATAATAATGAAACAAAACTATATTTTCTTATAGTTTTTTTCCTCTATTCAACATTCCAAAAGAAAAACTATTTCAACTGCTCAATTCTTAAATAACTAATCACAACCATGACAAATTTTTGGTTGGTACCTATTTTTTTGGTGGGCTTTTCCCTTCTGTCATCACTTTGTTCGACAACTTACATTAGTGTTTTATTCAATGATCTTTAAAACTTAACTTTCATGTATTGAATTACTTTTGTGTTTTTAATTATGAAAATTTTAAAGCATTCTTGATGGAATCAGAATTGAGGAAGAGACATCAAAGAGAGAATAAATTCTGCCACAACTTGCTAAGGTACTTGTACCTATTAATATATATTTATTGGGAGTTGAAATGTTATTGCATTAATCATATCTCAAAAATGTTGTAAAGTTTGGCCGATATGAAAAAGTCACAATCCTTTAGAAAAATTACAATTTTTAAAAAAATCTGAACCCAATGAAAAAGTTATAATTCCTCAATGTAAAAAGTTGTCTACTTTTAACATATTTTACAATATAATTAAACTACCTATAAAAACTACGCAAATAATACTCGTTGTTGTTTCTTCTTCTTCTTCGTAACAAACTTCATCCCTAATTTTTGTGAAACTTCGTTAATTCCTCGGAAGTCTACTTTGGATCTTCACCAAAAAAATAATGAAACAATACTATAATTTCATTGCAGTTATTTCCTCTATTCAACATTTCAAAAGAAATACAATTTCAATTGCTCAATTCATAAACAACTTATCACAATCATGACAATTTTATGGTTCATACCTAATTTTTTTGGACTTTTCCCTTCTGTTATCACTTCGTTCGACAACTTACGTTAGTGTTTTATTTAATGATCGGTAAATGTTTATCTTTTATGAATTTGTAATAAATTACTTTTGTTTTTTGTTATGAAAACTTTTTAAGCAGATGGAATCAAAATTGAGGAAAAGACAGCAAAGAGAGAATAAATTCCGCCACAACTTGATAAGGTACTTGTACCTATTAATATATTTTACTAGGAGTTGAAATGTTTTATTAATCATATATAAAAAATGTTGTAAAGTTTGACTGATATGTAAAAGTCACAATCCTTTAGAAAAATCACAACCCATCAGAAAAGTCATAATCCATCAATGTAAAAAGTTGTTTGATTTTAATATATTTTACAATATAATTAAATATAGTATGAATTATTTTGTAGGATTTGGGCAAAGGCTTTTGGTATTAATACTTATCTATTGTATGAAATATAGAAGGGATATGGCATAAGTACCCCCTAGACTATGACCGAAATCCCAGAGACATACCTTAACTAAACTAAGGTCATATTACCCCCTGAACTCATCTTTTATATAAGTTTGTACACCTTTTGACTTATGTGGCACATTTCGTGACTCCACGCAGTTCAAGCACGTGGGAGATATTTGGATACCACGTAAGTCGAAAAGGTGTACAAAATTTAAAAAAAAATGGGTTCAGGAGGGTAATAGGACCTTAGTTTAGTTAAGGTGTATCTCTAAAATTTTGGTAATAGTCTAGGGGGTACTTGTACATTTTCCCAAATATGGAATATGTACTAAATTGCGTGTTAACAAGAAGGATAAAAAAAACTTAGAAATTTTGTGGTTTAAAAATGTAAGAGAACCCCTCTAATTATACCCAAAAAAGGGTAGTATGAACAAATGTTTATTGTGTCTTATCAAAAATTCACTACCTTTCGAAAAAGTCACAATATTTTGGAAAAAGTCACAATCCTTCGAAAAAGTCACAACTCTTTGGAAAAGTAATAACCCTTCAGAAAAGTTACAACTCTTTTGGAAAAGTCACAACCCTTTGGAAAAGTGACAATCCTCCAATGTGAAAAGGTTTCTTATTTTAATATATTTTAAATTATAATATAAATAAATATAGAATTGTAACACCTCAGACTTTGAAAGAGCTAAATCGAGAGTCATACAAGTTACTTTTCAATTGTGAATTTTGGGTCAACTTCAAACGATCATAACTCTCAGCACAAGATGAGTTAGGTGGCTCATGAGGTATCAAATCGAAGGTCGTTGAGTCCTCTTTCCAACGTCGCCGATTTTGCTAAATTTTGAGTTCGGATGAAGGAGAAATGCCTGCTTGAATGCAGCAACTCTAGTTAAGGCATTTTTTCATCCGTTTTAAGGAGGGGTATTTTGGTGTTTTTCCTACCCCACTAGGCCTACACATTTTTTTCACCCAATTAAGGGTCTAAAATGATTGAGATCAGTTTTCATTCATTCCTAAACGCTTAGGGTTGAGAGAAGGTTTTCAAGAGGAGAAAAAAAAGAAATTTTCAAGAGTTCTTCCAAGCTTTAAGGATTTTGGCCAAGAACTTAGTTCTTACGAGGTATGTAAGTTCTCCTCTCAATACTAACTATCTAAGACTTCATTAATCATTGAGAGATCCTAAATATTCTAACCATAACTCTCAAATCTTCATTTCAAATTAAAGTAAAGATTAAGAGTAAAGTTCGAGAAACCTTTTTGAGTCATTTTGAGAAGTCTTTTACAATCTTCTAAAACTTGTTTTAAAACTTGAGTGAATGAGTAAGAGGATGAGGAAAGTTGAGTTTCATGTTTCAAAATGAGTATAAGGCAACCAAGTATTCCCAAGTGTAAACATGTTTACATTTAAAATGAGAGGAAACCTTGATTTCTAAACGAGTCTA